GGCGCACGAATGGTTAGTGATTGTACGAACTGAACTGAACTGATCCAATCTATCATAGGGGCTTCAGCTTTATCTTTTAGTACGATACGTACACCACGCTGACCCAGTGAGCGGGCTGCGTCGTCTCCTGATGTGCGAAGGAAATACCTTGAGGACAGAGCCGGTGCACTCAGGTGGCTTATCATACTAGGATCCTGAATTCTTGTCTCCAGTACGCAACAGACATCGATTTCTAGAGACTGCATTGTACGCGCAAGCCACGTCTGTTGACCCACCTGCATAAGAGTCCTCACGTTGAAAGCCCCCAGATTGAGAGGTTGACGAGGCTGCACTTTATTTGAAACAATCATTTTCTTAACCCCTGAGAAATAATGAGCTATATAGATAAGAGGCGCGATAAAAAGTTCGCTATAAACTGCTTGAGGTGCCTCTCTTATGAACCACTACGTTATCATAGTGTCTGTAAGACCACCATAGTAACGTGTTTCAGAACTGAAATCGATCATTTACCTGCTAAGAAAAACCGATGGTTAAGCCTGCGCCGAGATACAATTCACTTCGGTTTAGTGGTTACACGTAGACGCAACATTTATCGCAGTCCTAATTTTCCCATACAGGCATGCACGTCAACCCATAGCACATCCAAAGAAACTAGAACTAAGGTAACTAGGGTTTTCCTTTATGTAAGCGTCTCTGGCCACACGAGGTTTATCTTTTCTAACTACTTTTTAAATATCATTTATTAATCAAAATTCGTGAAATCGGGGATTGTATCTGGTGTTAAGGTAACGTACTATAACTGTGAACTTCCAGAAGTTTCATNGGTTGGTGGATTTAGTGAAGTTCTCATCTAATACAGTTCATCAGGGGCCTCGTCGAAATTCAAAGTCACGCATAGATGCTGCATACGGCGCTTTACGATGCACGCTCTATCAGCAGGGAATCTGCACCTATTGATCATGAAATGGTTCATGCAGAGCTGTCTGGAAGATTTTCTATTTTCACGAAAGCGTATTCGTCGTGCAGCATCGACGTGTCATTCACCAATGAAATATTTTGGAATCACAGTCCAGCCGTTTCATTCTTTTGTGAAATCATAATCATTGCGTATCCACCGAATTTCACAAGAGCAGGGTTACTTTCAAATTATCACCTCATTTTTCCGCCTATTGTTTATCCCGAAAATCGATTTGAACTTGTATGAAAATGGCAACTTACTTTGCAGTCTCTTCATGGTATCCGCTCGGGAGAGCAGAGCTGTATGCTACCGATCGCGTCCGTAGGTCGCGGATAGGGGAGCGGCCGTCAACTCACGGCTAACCGTGAATAAGTTGGGCTTCGGCCCTCCGAATAAGCTGTCGCGGACGATCAGCGGCAGCGCTCGAGGATATGGTGGGTTTACATCCTGGCAAAAGAACTCCGCACAAAACCCACACATATCTGTGGACAGCGTTGTGACATGGGGAGTGTGGCCTGCCACAAAATATGGCCATCGTCCCTTGTCGGAATCTATGGTTCGGTTAGGTTTTTCAGAAGAGGCGAACGAACCAAATACTCATCTGGAACATCACTGCTGCCTTGCAGCTCGCGTTTGGTTGCGCAAAGGCTAGAGTGCACTCTCGAACAAGGCCTAGTCTGGACCGGGCGACCGAATAATATAACAGCCCAAAACGCTAACAATGATGAGATCTTCGATTCTTACGTGTCTTCAGTGTACAATTCCTGCTCCTAGCGATTAACACTTTCTACCATACACTTACTCATATCCCCCAGCCCTTCCCCACCCCATCGTCACCCACTTAACCCACCCTCTCTCTCGGGTTCTTCAGACGATCGTGCTAACAGTAGCGCCTCAAATGGAAACTCTGCCGCAGTTCTCTTGTGTCCTACTTCAACTGTCGTCCAAGTCTCACCGAATGCTCCACCTACTGAAGCCCTTTTTCACCCTCGATGCCCATTCAAATTAGCCACATTTAATGTGCATACTCTGATGCGTATAGGACAACAGGCCGGTTTAGCTCCTACGCTCGAGACCCTAGCCATTGGTGTGTGTTGTATCCAAGAAACTCGCATTGAAGACTCCAGCTCCATTATCCGATTGACGTCCCCATCGAACCCATCAGTGAAGTTTCACTTGCGCCTCTCTGGGAACCCTGAGGCTGTAGCTTCCGGTTTTGCTGGCGTCGGCGTGGCTCTCAGTGAGGAAGCTGAAACCGCCCTCCTGGATTGGTTCCCAGTCGACAGTAGGTTGAACGCAGTGAGGCGTAAAGCTTCGTGCAAAGTAAAGAGCCGTTGCTCCGATAGACGAAACCTGTTTGTCGTGTCGGCGTACGCCCCAACGGACTGCGGCCTGGATATAGTCCAAGACGAATTTTACCATAATCTACACCACCTCTTACGTAAAGCGAGTTGGGCTGATATTGCGATTTTAGCAGAGGATTTCAATTTTTTTCACTTCATTTCCTTTTATTGAATATACAAATATACAATTTTCAGGAAGGGGGAGGCGGCCAATCAAAGGGCTGCCATTCAAAACAACGGGGAAAGTCGGGCGATGGTGGTGGGATTCAAACACAACCTCGGGGTGATAATTTGGTGGTTACTGCCAGCGTCCGCCCTCTTCGAGTCAGGGACGAACACAGGTTGACTACATCGCAATAAGCCACAAATGGCGGGGTTGTACACTAGGCTGTCAATTGTGCTGGAGCACTCCGCACGAATCGGACCACGAGTTAGTTTGCGCCAAGCTGTCCATGTACTTCGGTAGGCGTTCCAAACGCGCAACACGATGGTTAGACTGTGTTGTTTGAACCAGCACGCCTGATTGTCTTTCAGAACGCGCTACCTGAAAAGCTAGAACCAAACCCACCCGATGACGTCAACCAGCACGGGTCGCTTATCAAGAAAGACCTGCATTCTGGCTTAGCTAGTTGTGGTCTGACGCGCTGTGCCTCAACACCCTGGATTTCTGCGGAGTCTTTACACCTCGACGCGCGCCGAACAATCCCGACCGGCAGCGAGCATAATGAAATACGACACGCAATGAGTCTTAACCTCAATGGAAGCTTACGCAGAGACTGCGAAATCTGGTGGACTCAACGCGCGTCAGAGATGGAACGTGCTGTCGCCGTTAGCTATTCTATCTCATTCGGATCACCTTTAGGAGAATCTTGGATGTGAGCGAAACGATCTGCGAAGCAACGTCTTGCACGCTGGGCGGAGCACTTCAAGGCACAGTTTAGCTGGCCACCAACGTCAGCTTTTCACAGCTATTCCGTCACACGTCCCATGGTCTGTCACAACAGACCGACCTTCTGAGGTGGAATGCCGTAAGGAGATCGAAGCCTTGGGATGTCACAAAGCGCTGGGCTTTCATGGCCTTCCCCCTGCTCTGTTTAAAGATGGTGGAATACAGCTTGTTAGAAGACTGTAAGTCCTGTTCTCTGAAGTGTGGAACACTGAGCAGGTCCTCTCCTCGTGGTGGTGGGGAATTGATTGTCATCCCCGCACAATCACTGCGCCAATCATAGGGGTATAAGCCTAATTCCGACGACGTCAAACCTGTTGGCGTCCGTCATTTTCCGCCGATTGTACACTATACGTGAGGAGCAGGCTGGGTTTCGCGCTGGTGGTGGATGCATCGATCAAATCTTCACCCTCCGATAGCTGCTAGAACACCGTCGTGCCTATCAAAGACCAACTTTTATTCTATTCTTCAACATCCGCGCGGCCCTCAACTCTGTCGATAGGAACGCACTATGGACCTGTTTGTTGAGGAATGGAGTACCTGAGAAGTATTTGTCGATCCTCAAGGAGTTGTATCGTCATACCTCAGGTCGGGTTAGGGCCTGTGGCCAGCTTTCACCACCCTTCGCCGTCTCCAGTGCAGTTCTACAAGGTTGCCCTATATCCCATTCTTTTGCAACTTCGCCATAGGTGATGTTCTGCAGGACGCTTTGTCCGGTTCGGCAGACGGTGGAGTCGAACTCCTCCCAGGGAACAGATTTCTTGAATTTGAATACGCCGCCTTGCTGGGTAACCATACGGACATTCCAACACGCTTTAAATCGCTTGGCGATCGAGGTATCCAGGTATGGTATATGCTTTGCATCATCCAGTTGCAAAGTGCTTGCTTAAGACTAGCGGGAGCCTGTGCTTACACTCACCCTCTGTGGTGATCAACTGGAAGTGGTTGAAAGCCTTCAGTGCTGGTTTTGGTGTTGGGGAGGAGCTCACATCGCGAATAGCGAAAGCTAGAGCATCTTTCGCCAACCCTCGACACCTTTGGCGCCGCCATGACTTGGCTATCCCTTAAAGGGAGGGTGTACATCGCCGCAGTTCGTAGCTTTCTGCTCTACGGTTGCGAGACCTGGCCCATCCACGTTGAGGATGCTGATCAACCGATATCCCCGAGGCATTGCCCTTTTCTGTTAGGAAAATCGGGTGAGCAATGACGAGGTCCGTCATCGTGTGTTGATTGTGGATAGTGGTTCTCTAACAGGCAATCATTCTACACTGCCTCCGATGGCTTGGCCACGTATTGTGGTGTCTCCCGTCTTCCAAGTTGGGGTCCACAAGACTGTAACTGGCTGGTTGGAGATATTGAAGGATATGGCGACTAACCGACAGCAGTGGCGTTCTTGTTGTCGTTTCTTATCAGGTCTGAATACTTGAAAAGGTATTTCTGCACACTTATATTGTGTACCCCGTTTGTTGATCATACAGGTTTACTTTCTTTGCCTCTCTCCAATTAGGCCCCGTCCCTCTCCATCTTGTGCTTCATCACGTTTGTGTACATTGGCAGCGATCAGTGAAGTTGGCGTCACTGTATCTCGCTGTACGATGATAATGATGATGATGATGATGCCCATCGACTACCTTTCCGTGCTCTCTGTGCATGTGCCGGGCAAGGCTGGAATAAGCGCCGCGATGGTCAGACCATGACATGGCCTAGAGGTACGAAGAAGCTGGCCTCAGATTTGGCTTCGGTTGGTGCAGCCCGCCTTCCAGGTTGGGATCCAAGGGATGAGGATTGTT